TCTATTTCCCTGACTGACATTAAAGATATCTGTCAAGTCAGTAACTGAAAAATAAAGAAATGCTTTCTTATAGAGCATGTGCTGGTCATGAACTACTACTATATTTTACCCACAAATCCCAATTTCCATTTAATTTTCCGAGATAATTTGTATAGATCGGTTACAAGTAGTAAACTGACACATTTTGTCATTTAGACAAGTTATTTGTTTTAAACGTAAGAGAACAGAGATGGAAGTGCACCTGTCATCAAATGTCTCAAAATTAATTTTTAAATGATTGAAAGCCTACTCTCTTTCCTAAAAAGGCTAATTCCAAGGCAGGGGCAAACTTGACTAGTCCCAAAGAACAAAGAGCTTATATTGAGCTCTTGGTCAAACATGATCAAAGTAAGCAGAATATTGTAATTGTCAATCTCATCTCTGCAAGAACACAGTGGAAATAAATAAAGCTTTATTACTCAAAGTGTGGTCCTTCGACCAGCTGCAGGGGCAAAACCTGAGAGCTTGCTAGAAGTGCACAATCCTAGGCTCCACCAAGATCCACTAACTTTTAACAATATCACCAGGTAACTGATGAAGCACTAGTTAAAAGGAAAATGGCAGAATAAAGTTAAAATTCTCAAATTCCCCTTGATGGTGGTATGATTTCAAAAGAAACTCCATCAAAAACAGGCCAGCAACAGAAACAAAAATATTGTAAACATGATAAAAACATAAAGCTGAACTGAAACACAAGAGAAACAGATGAGGAGACAAAAGCAGAAGTCGATTAGGACATATGTTTGGAGAGGTGGCGTGGGTAGTGGTGTTTTATACCATTTACAGAATAAAAGTTGCAGATCTAAACCTAGTAGAGTCTAGATGTTCACTGTTTAGTTGGACAAACCCTGTGTCACTTCATATGCGACAAAACACCTTAGCTAGGCTTCAGAATAAAATGATGCTTCGGCTGTCAAAATGGAATCTGAAAAATAAATTTGTAAAATAAAATATGCATGTTAATGTACATAAATCAGAATTTCCTATAAAAAATAGAGACTATGTAAAATTATTTTGTGTTTAACTAATAGCTACAGAGAAAACTACAGGCAGTAACAAGGAATATGGGGAATATTTCAATGAGTAGTTTAAGCATACCAAGGTAATTGTCTTGTTTGTGAAGAGGACAGATACGCTTAATAACTTTAATTACCTTATGAGTGATATACAGTGTTAGAATGTTAAGTTAACCATTACAAAGAAAGTTAATCTACCAAATGAAAAAACACACTGTTACAAGAAAGGAAGGTCATAAATGAGAAAGTATAAGACAATTTATGGCAAATAGAAAACACAACAAGCATAGTGCAAATTAGTTTAAATACGTCGATTTAACATGGATTAAATTCACCTAAAATACACAAAATCAAATAAAATGAAAAAAATGCAAGGAAACGCTAATATTAAGTGGCTTGAAACTCCAAGAATAAAAAATGGGTAAATATATAACAGATAAATATTAAAGAAATCTGTAAAAGAAATATTGCTATCAGAAGAAACAGATACTCATGTACAAGTACTAATGAGAGTAATACCAAGGTATAGTATATCACTATAAAAGGAACAATGTTCAAAACTAAAGATAAAAACTAAGCTGTTGTATTAGCCTAACAACAAAACTTGAAATCTATAAAGAAAAATTAAGAACCGAATACTAAGGAGAAGCAAATTGACCTAGAATCTGATAGTGACATTGTAATACAGAAAACCTTGGTTTGCGAGCATAATCCCTTCCAGAAACATGCTTGTAATCCAAAGCACTCATATATCAAAGCAAATTTCCCCATAAGAAATGATGGAAACTCAGCTGATTCATTCCACAATCCAAAAATATTCATATAAAAATGATTACAATACTGTAATACAAAATAATAAAGAAAATACTAAATACAAAGAAAAATAAACAAGTTAACCTGCACTCACCTTTGAAAACCTTCATGGCTTGTGAGACAGAGACAAGAGAGAGGAGGGTTATTATGTAGGAAGACTTTCACTATCACTAACTGAGTCACTGCTATTTATTGGCTCAATGGAATCTTTTTCTCCATGGGGGCCATTGTATGAGCTCACACAAATGTTGACTATGGTACAGTATTAATAAATTCTTGCCATATACGGTATTTAACGTAACTGGCAATAAGACAGCAGAGGAAAGGGTCTTTATCTGCAGGCAGCCTGACCTAGAATGAAGCAAAGCATTCCTAAGCTTACTCTCGTATGGAAAAGCAAAGGACTGTTCACAGGTGTTTTGAAGTGACAAAAAATACACTAGTACCAGTTGTGGGCACTGTCCAATGTTCTGAAAAATCACTGATTTCTGCCAAACACCGTGGCCTGAAAGTGAGCATCTGAGCATGGGGGACGATCACCCAGAATCCCGCAGAGAGAGAGAGAGAGAGAGAGAGAGAGAGAGAGAGAAGAACCACTGCTTAGTTGTGATCATATGACGTTTGGCATCATGTACAACTCATATTGCAAGGCATTGTTCGTTTATAAAGTTAAAATTTATTAGAAATGTTTGCCTGTCTTTCAGAACACTAACCAAACAAGCCACCGCAATCCATGGTTTTACTGTCTAACCCTCTAATCATTAGATTAAAATATAAATTATTTTTTTAAATTATAAAAATATATAGGATTCCAATAAACCAGTTAACAAACTTTATCTAATAGATATTTAGAGAGATACCCTAAGTGTGACATTAACCAATTCTGTCGATCACACATGAATCATTTACAAAAAATGAATATGCTTGAGGTCAGAAAGTCTTTAAAATTTCTAAATAGTAATATGACATGGGTAAAGTTTTCTAATAATAATAAATCAGAAATATTAAAAACAAACAGGTGGTTTTAACATTGCATTTAAAACTGAGGGAAGCTTACACCTCCAGGAAGATGGAAGAGACATATTTCTAATACTTTTTTGAAGTTTTTATTTAAACTCCAGTTAGTTACCATACAGCATAATATTAGTTTCAATGATTCAACACTTCCATACAACACTCAGTGCTCATCACAGTAAGTACACTCCTTAATCCAAATCATTTATTTAACCATCTATAATACTTAATTTATGATTAACTAAGAATCTTGAGGATTACATACAAAGCAGAAAAAAAAAATCTAAAGTGTAAAGAGAAGACAGACCCGCTAGGGACATTGGGACACAAGAAATGGCACAGAGTTCCCTCGGCGTTTCTTTTTATCTCATATATCTCAGCACTGGAGCTGAAGAAGGCAATCTGGAAATATCAACTGACTGCAGACCCAAACAACAGCAACAACAACAACAACAACAACAACAACAAACCTGTTATTTCTTAGCCAAAGGACAAGAAAAGAGGATGCTTAACAAGATGAAAAAACTTTTCAATGAAAGCTATTCTGCTCCTGCCAAACATCACAGAAAAAAACCTGGCACATCTAAGTTACCTAATTTATTGATATACTATTCTTGACATTACTCCCTTATGACCTTTCTATTTCTGTAATGTCAGGAGTAATGTTCTGTCTTTCATTTTCTATTTCAGTAATTTGGGTCTTCTCTCTTCTTTTTCTTTGCCAGTCTAACTAAAGATTTGTTAAATTTGTTAATATTTTTGAAGATCTTTAGTTTTGATTATTTTATCCACCACTATTTTCTTCCTTGTTTTATTTACTTCCATTCTAGTCTTTATTATTTCCTTTCCTATGTTTACTTAGTGTATAACTTGGCTTTTTTTTTTTTTTTTGTATTTTCTTAACATGGAAGTTTAGATGATTGATTTAAAATCTTTTCGCCTTTTTCAATACAGGGATGTTGTTTAATTATGTATTTTTCAATTATCAGTTTTGCTTCATGTTTTGTGGTCTGCTATTACGTTCATATATGGCTATTATAGTTACATCTTTTTTTTAACTGCTACATCTTCTTAATTTATTGAACCATTTGCCATTATAAAATGTCTTTTCTTTCTCTAGTAATATTTTCTTAATATATATTTCATCTGATATTAGGATTACCACTCCAGCTCTCTTGGAATCTGAATAAGATACAGTGAGTCAGGGTTTTAAAAACCAATTCTAGCAACCTCTGATTTTACATAGATGTTTATTTTAAGTAGATGTTTTCTCATATATCATTCTAGTTCCTGTGTTGTTTCTTCTCTGTCTCTTTTTTTGGAGTTCTTTTCTTAGTAGTTGCCCTTGGGATTCCAATTAACTTCCAACATTTAAAACAACATCATTTATTTAATATCAACTTAATTTTATTAGTACACAAAGTCTTTCCTCCAGTAGAGTTCCCTTCCTTCCACCCTCCTTTGTAATACTATTGTCACACCAATTGCATCTTTATACATCATAGCCCATCAATATAGCCTTATAGTTAGTGTTTTATGCACTTGTCTTTTAAATGAGAATACAGAAGAGTTTCAAACAAGATTATATACATTTTAACATTAATACTTAAATGTGTCATCATCTTCACCACTCTTTATTTCTCCATGCAGTTATGAGTTATTATCTATTGTCCTTTCAGTTCAGTCTGAAAAACTCCCATTAGTATTTCTAATAGGGCAGATATACAAACACTGGATTCTCTTAGTTTTTGTTTAGTAATGTCTTAATTATTCTTTCATTTTTGAATGATGGTTTTTGTGAAATAGATTTCTTGGTTGGTAGTCTTTTTTATTTATTTTTATTATTTTATTTTTTAAAATACTTTAAATATGTCATCTCCCCGCCCTCTATTATCTCCCTGCCTAAGTACAAAAGGAGGTACCTCTAATGGGACGCAAATTCTCAATAAGCTGATTCTGCAGCAAGTAATAGTTATAAAATCTTGGAGGGAACCTCAAGTGAGAGCTATGGAGAGTGAACGAAAGCAGAAAGATTTTAGGAAAGGAGGAGCAATAAAAAAAATTCATATAAAATTATATACTATAGAAACATGAAACATAATGGGAATGATCACTTACCTCTTAACAGATACCATGGAGGTCAAAAGACAGTGAAATAATATCTTTGCAGTGCTGAAATAAAAAGGAAATAAATGTGCCAATTCAGAATTCTATATTCAATGACATTACTTTTCAAGAATGAATATGAAGTAAAGACATTTTCAGACAATGGAACAATAAGAGTTATCTGAAAGGATTAAAGGGAAAAGCAATCCCAGCTCACAAACTACCAAGAATAATGTTTGTTCACAAAAGCCAGATTAGAAAACCTCGCACTGCATGAGACATTGGCTCGAATACTCAGACGGGTTTTGTCTCAGATGGGAGGGTAAACAATCTTAGATGAAGTAAATGCACTGGCCCCACTGAGAAGCTTAAAAGCAAGACCTAACATTTTACAGTGCTTCTGAAGACATTAATAGCATCCAAGGACAAACTCAAGAATATTTATAGCATGCAGAAATATCCAGCACCCATAAGGAAAATCTATGATCTCAGGCCTCCTACTAAAAAAAAACTATGGTAGGCAAAGAAGCAGAAAATAGGACTCCTGATTACAATAAGACAAATAATAAAAATTGACCCAAGTATGATGATACAGATGATATAATTAATATAAAGGGATATCAAAAGTTAGAATATATATATATTTTGCTTGTAAGAAGTGTATACTTTTTAAAATAGCAGAGAACTGAAAAATAAAACTTAAAAGTTTCATTCACTATAGAAGAAATGAATTCACTTAGGAATAAATTCACAAAAGCCATGCAGTATCTCCACACCAAAATCTACAGTACACTGCCAACTCAAATTAAAGGACACTAAAATTGAACGCATCTCATTATATTTTGGGAAAATCAATCACTTTATGGATTCAAGACAATAACTATCAAAATTACTACAGATACTTTTGGAGAAATTAATGGTGATTCTAAAATTTTATAGAAATAAATGACCCACTAGAGCCAAAGAGGTTGTGAAAAACAAGTATCCAGTGGTCTGATTACACTACTGAATTTTAAGGCACAATATAATATAAATGTATAATCATCAAACAGTATGATACAGGTGAAAGAATGGAGATATACGGAACAGATACATGGAACAGAACAGAATTCAGAAACAGACCCAACCATAAGTTTTCAATTGATTTTCGACAAAGATGTGAAGGCAATTCAATGACAAAAGAAAAGTTTTTGCAAAAACTCATGCTAGAACCATTTGGTTTTATATTTAGGAGAAAAATGAACACACACAAAAATTAACTTGAAACAGATCAGAGACTAAAATTAAAAGTTAATATTATAAAAACTTGTTGAAGAAAACATAAAAGAACATTTTATTGCCTTCGATAGGCAAAGATTTCTTAGGTAAGACACAAGAAATGCAAGTCCTAATTGAAAAATTAGGAAATTGGAGTCTCAAAATAGGAACACTTTATCTTCAAAAGATGCCATTAAGGAAACAAAAATTCAAGCCGCCAAATGGGAATAGTTTCAGTACATATATGTGACATGTTTGTAGCCAGAATATATCAAGAAATCTTATGAACCATTTATAAGAGAGCAAACAGTCCATTAAAAAGTACAAATATTTGGACAGATAAATTGACCAATAAACACATGAAAAAGTGTTTAACATCATTTGTCATCAAGGGAATGCAAATCAAAATCGTAACTTCACATTATTACACATTTATTAAAATGGTTAAAAAGTTAAGAATTGTCTATACAGAGGTGCTTGGGTGGCTCTGTCAGTTGAGCATCTGGCTCAATATCCGCTCAAGTCATGACCTTGAGCCAAGTCTGGCTCTGTGTGCTGAGCATGAAGTCTGCTTGGGATGCTTTCTCTCCCTGTCCTTCTGCCCCTCCCACACTTGTTCTCTGTCTCTCTCTCTCTCAAAATAAACAAACTTTTTTTTTTAAAGAACTGTCTATACAAAGTTTTGTAGTAGATGTGATGCTGCTAAAATGTAATACATTGTTGGTAGGAACTTAAAATGGAACAGCTACGTCGGAAAAATACTTGGAAGTCTCATAAAATATTAAGCATATAATTATCATCATTCCCAGGCATTTCATGTCTATGTATTTACTCCATATATAGGAACATTTTTCAATATAAAGACAAGTACATATGCCCAATACAGTTTGACTTTTAGTACTGAAAGCCCTGCATGTTGAGAAACCCTTCAATCCTGGGCAAACTGGGATTTGTTTTTTTCCGTCACCCATAATACAGATGTAAGAGTAAATAAATAAATAAGTTGAAAGTTTAATGAGTAAAGATATTTATATATTTTTAAAGTGCCTTTCTCTAAGTCACATTTACAAAGGAGCAAAAATAAGTTTTCAGTGTTGAAGTCTGGCAGACAACACATTAATCAATAATCAAAGTGAACATCATCAATCATGATACAAACGGAAATCTTGTGCTACTTGATAGGATGCAACGAAGACCATGCAACACGTATCTGTGATACTCTCGTCAAAAAGTTCAACCTGCATATACTCTTAAGGTAGTATCACAATTAAGCTGTAATTTTCAAATGTATTAAGCTACTGAAAGTCAAGGAAAGGCTGAGAAACAGCTCCAGAATGAAGGAGATTAAAGAAGTGTGACATCTAAATTAAGATTCTGAAGTTGACACCTTCTCTATTAACAAATAATGGAGAGGCAATTGGTAAAATGGAACAGGCTGTAAAGATCAGATGATAGTAATGTATCAATGTAAATTTATTTATTATATTGGTCCCACTGCAGTTATGTAGGGGAATGTCCTTTTATGTAGAAAATACACCCTGAAGTATTCAGGGATGATGGGCATTAAGTTAATAACTTGTTGTCAAATAACTCAGGAATAATTTTTCTATACTCTATCTCTTGTTTTTGTAAGTTTGTGATTGTTTAGATATATAAGAAAACACTTAAATCTTCTAAATGAAAAAAATTACACCATATCTAAGGCTTATAAAAAGTTATAGTTTAAGAGAAGACAAATGGTCAGAAGCCATCTCTGTTTAATGAGGAGTTGCTCTAGTACACAAGATTTGCTGAAGAATAGTCTGGGGCTACTAACATGAAAAAAAAGTCTCTAGTTCAAAACAGTATTAAATGTTAAACACATTAAAGCAACTAAAATAAAATTACATTGGCTATTAAAATTTCTACAAAGCACTTCCATTTTCATATTCAAACACGTGAAATACAGTTTTAGAATTCAAAAATGATTTAAGTGTATGGAAACTCATCCAATAAAACTTTACACTCCTTTAAAGGTTATTGATTGGGGTGCCTGGGTGGCTCAGTTGGTTAAGAGTCTGACTTCGGCTCAGGTAATGATCTCTCAGTTTGTGGGTTCGAGCCCCATGTGGGGCTCTGTGCTGACAGCTTGCTCAGAGCCTGGAGCCTACTCCAGATTCTGTCTCCCTTTCTCTCTGCCCCTCTCCCGCTCACACTCTGTCTCTGTCTCTCTCAAAAATAAACAAATGTTAAAAAAATTTTTAAGATATTGATTAAACTTATTAACATTGAATTCCACATATTCCCTTTTTAGTAAAGTATGTCACTTTCATGCAAGTTAATTTTTCAACATATATTTTTTATACTTTGGATAACTAATAGATTTTGCCTAACCCTAGACAACATCTCTTATGAAAAAATTATCACAAATTCAAGTGTATTTAGTCTTTGTGAAGTAAACAGAGTGAACTGGAAATTTCATTTATGTCCCAGTAACATTCCAAACATGATTCAATAACAATACTGGTACAAATTATTTTCCCTCAGTTATACACTACAGTATTTTGAAAAACTAGGAAAAATCAAATGAATTACATGGAGAATATTATGATTTTCATTCTTTATAAGTGTATTTCAAAGGAAGAATGGGTGATTTGAGGGAGAGCTCACATTCATTAATGAAAATAAATGAAAAGTTGGATCATGTATGTATAAGCATAGTAATAAAAAGGGTCTTTGCCATTGATGGTGATTTGCATTTACCTCTACATAAACAGAATAAAATTTAGGGGAAATAATAAAGAATAAAAAGAAAGTGAATGAAAGAAAATAAAATAGCCATTCAACCCTGGCTTCTGGAAGATAAATTGTATGACTAGCTCAAGGGCAATTTATAATCTTCAGCACAGCTTCCTGGGGAGCCTGCCAATAGGCAAATGCTAAAGCCAGAAAAACTGCCTTCATAGCTTGACATCAGAGCTCCAAGATGGCTGTCAGAGGCTTAATGGTGACCTGAGGTTCTGACCTTCTCAACAAAATAAGGGAAATTTAGGGGAAAGAAGTCGGAATATGGATTGGTAAGTTTGTGATCTGTACATGGTCCTCACAGGTCATTCTACCTGGGTGTATCAATGGTATATACTCCTCTTGACACACTAGACCCAATTATAAGAGTTTGGAAGAAAGTCCATTTTGTACAAACTTGTCTTAATTCTTTATAATTCATACTTACTTTATTAGGCACCTCAAATATTAATATCTTTTGAGTGCACTGAAATGAATATCAATCACTTCAGGTTGTTTCTTTTCTGATTCTAAACCAGGAGATAACAGAAGCAGCATTTAGCATGTACATTCTAAGTGAATTTTTATTGCCGTTGGTAATATAGCTGAATATGATTATGTGCTAGGTGATTGCAAAATAAACAGAACTACATATGGCTAGCAGTTAAAGACACTACAGACTGTCTTGTTTAATCGGTTATCTAAGAGATTCATTTTTCTAATGAAAAATTACTAGAGCCAGCATTAAGACATTTATAAATGTAAAAACAGCAAATAAAAATGTCCTTAAAAACAAGCAACCGTTCAAGTTACTCTTTGTGGTAAATTTGTCGTAGTACACCGCTGAGTAAGGATAAACAAGCTAACGAATGGGAAAACATATTTTACTAAATGTCACTTGCATGAATTAAACTTTCACAACTACCTTAATAAAACAATTCAATTAGGAAGAGTTTCACATGTTTGCAATTTGCTTGAGGTACAAATAGATGGCCCTCTTAGGAGCAAAATGTCACATTTTCATCATTTTCTGGTAGATATTTAAA